TTTATTCAGACAGAAAGAGTGAGAAAGAGTTGAGAGCAGCAGGAACACTGTTTGTAACAGTTCCACACAGCTGGGGAGAGGTCCTGAGTTGTTTGGAAGAAATATTCAGGAGTAGATGGCTGTGGCGCTGTTAAAGAGGAGAACATGTTAAAGACATGAGTTACCCGTGTTTGTGGTAGTAGTGAGCCGAGTTAGTGAGGCAGTTTGTTTAACTGACATAGAGAGGCATTATTTGAAAAGAATATTGTCGAGTGAATGTACAGAACTTTAGCAAAAAAGAAACCAATTACAGCTGTGTCAGCTGAACAAGGAACTTTAGTGTGGGGATAGGAGTAACCCTTCACTGAGGTTTGAGTATCAGTCAGGTTATTACTGGGGATTAATGGATGAACTTTTCTTTTTAATATATGTAATGATATCATTCCAAATAGTGTAACATTGTTCATGGTTTTCTTCTTTTGTGTAATAAATTCTAAATCCTTTTCTTAGGCATATATTGGCTGCCTGTTATGATTATCTTTAAGTGATTGATCTCCATGTTAAACAAGAAGAAAGAAAACTCTTATGGTCTATCCTCTTGCTTGAGGTTTGGTAACCCTGTGGTTAAACTACCACTTGTGGTCTTTCTGTAATGAGAGAGAAGCCCTTTGTCTAGTAGGACTATTGTAACTTTACCATAAGCTCATCGACTCCCATAGCTACCTTGACTATGCTTCCTCACAGTAAATACTTTTACTGCAGAATTTGTTGCTCCTGTAGCCAAGATGTTCCATCATAGCTACAACACTGGCATCTGCCCAGCAATGTGGGAAATGGTCTCATGCACAGAAAGCAGGACAGGTCAATTCTGGTCAGTTACCACCCCATAAGTCTCCACCTGATCATCAGTAACGTGATGGAAGGAGCTTCCAATTCTTTAGGCTTTTCCAGAACACAAGGAAACTTGGAAGATTACTACTAGTGCATCGACTGTCTCTGTAGTTACTTCCTTTATTAGCATAAGCTGAAACTGGGCCTTTAGTCTAATTTTTGGCTCTGGTAAATTTGGTCATGATAGTTATTTATTTCACCCCCACATTTTATCCCTTGATTACTTAATATTTTAGGAATACTATTCATGTCTTCTATCATGAAGATTGATGTAACGTATTTATTCAGCTACTCTGCAATTTCCAGACTCCCCATTATTATGTGCCCAGTCTCCTTCCTTAAAAGGCCCATGTTCATTTTGGTCCATCTGTTCTTTTCAATATACTGAAAGAAGCTCTTCCTACCTTTTTTAATATTACTTGCTAGTTTACCCTCAAAGGCTATTTTCTGTCTCTTTATTATTCTTTACTTGGCCATCTTTTGTTGATTTTTGAATCTTTTCCCATCCTCTGGTTTATCACTAATCTTTACCACATTTTATATATTTTTTTTCAATTTGATATATCCTTAAATTGTTTGGTTAACCATTGTTGATTTGTCACTTTCCTAGAATTTTTCTTCCTCCCAGAGATATATCATTATTGTGTGTCATGAACTACTTTCATAAATATCTGCCAAGCAAAACATCCCAAACATTCAATCTAGATACGGGCAAGAAATATTGGTCCAGCCTGCAATGCCCACGTCCCACGTGAATATAGATATGTAATCAGACAGAAACTGGATGGTAACATAAAGAAGAATTTTGGGGGCATGGTTGGTTGGGAGAGTAACTTTTTCAGGAGCGTTTTATTGAACTAGAGGCTGTGAAGATAAAAAGGAATTTTGGAGCATAAGGTTTAGACAGTTGAAGACACACCAGCTATGGTGGGTTGAAGGGAATGAAGGATGCACAGGAGGCGAGGGTGAAAAGATTGGGGAGTCTGAGAGTGTAGAGATATTTATCAGGCTGGTAACGATGACAGAGTTAGAGAAGAATAAGCTAAAACTGATAGATATGAACATGATGATGGAACTAAAATATTGTTGTTCTGATTGACACGGCTTCTTGCCAATAATGGGTTCAAAACCAAGTAGCATTCCCATTATTCAACTCCTATTTGAGTTTCTGGTGAGACCATTTATCATTCTTACATCAACCATAACGTTTTTGGATTTTGTTTTTAGCTTCCTTAATCTTGATCAAGCCAAATTATTATTTCTTCTGGCTAATCTTGTTGCTTTTTTCCTGTCATGACTGAAGAAAACCTTTGACATGAGTTGCATTTAGTTACTTAAAGCCAGTGGATTGATCTTGTTGGCTGTCGTGCGAGAGGATGGCTCAGGAACTGGCTTCACATGTCCCCAGATCTTAGCTCTATTTCTCTTTAGTATTAAAATTCAGAAAAGCATTTACCAACTCATTCATCATATTGCAATATTCCTCAATGCAACAAGATTGGGAGAATGTACCAAGTGCAACTAAACTGCAGGGAGAAAGGCGAAGCTCAGAGAGGAATTCAGTATTATTGATGGAGTGTCATATCAGAGCAGGTTTCTTGCCTTGTAAATTTTAAATTACCTAATGATTGTGCAAATGACAATCATGATCTGACATATTGCTGGCTTTGGTAAATGTACTAGTCAGAGCTTTCATATGTTATCAGGTTTTTCTATCTACCACAGGTACTTACTAAAGAACACAGGCTGTTTCTTCCAGGAACCTAGTTGAGGTTTTGTGAGAGTAACTGTGTGCGCCAGGTAGCTTTGTGAGGTTCAAAAATGAGAACAATCGTGGGGAAAACTTCATCGTTTAAGAAGTCAAATGTTACAAATCAAAACATATCTGTGAATTTATAGAAAAAAATAAATACAAAACATCACATTTGCAGTGTAGAGGTGATCCTAGTAAGACCCTGGATGGCCTACTACCTTGTACATCCCCTAAGTAGGGGAGGCATTGGGGTAGTTGTAACGTCACTGGACTAGTAATCGGAAGGCCTGAAGGGCATGGACTCAGCATTATGATACCGTATTTTTGGGTATGCCTGGAGCTGCTGTTGTCCTGCACTGTTCAATAAACCAGGGTTGATGTCTCAGCTTGATAGTAATGGTAGAGTGGAGGGATATGCCAGGCCATGTGGTTGCAGATTGTGGTCATTTAGCACTGAGATGAGGATACATTATTTTACTTATAGGACCGTGAAGCTTTGAAATCCTCAGAGGGCTGTGGAAGCTCAAGCTTCAAGTATATTTAAATTAGAGATTGATAAATTTCAAGATGTGGAGGGGCCGGTGTTGGTCTGGGGTGGACTAAGTCAGAAGTCACACGACACCAGGTTGGAATCCAACAGCTACGTTTGAAATCACAAGCTTTTGGAGTGCTGCTCACTTCACCTAACGAAGGAGGAGCACTCTGAAACCTTGTGTTTTCAAATAAACCTGTTGGAGTATAACCTGGTGTTGTGTGACTTCTGATAGATTTTACTGAAAGTTAGCACAAAGGGTATGGGGATAGTGTGGGTAAAAGGTATTACTGAAGAGTTCAATCAGCCATGTTCATGTTAAATGGTGGAGCAGGCTCAATGGGCTGAATGGCCTACTCCTGTTTCTATGAATGGACCGTTTTGAATTGCTACATCTGTTTGAAATCTATCCCATTTAGCGTGGTGCCAGTGACAATGTCACGATAGTGGACATCCTTAATGTGAACATGGGGCTTCTCCACAAGAACAATGTAGTGGTCTCTCCTGTCAATATTGTCTTGGACAGATGCATCTGCAATAGCTAGATAAATGAGTACAAGGCCAAGTCTTGTTGGTTTCCTCAGAACATGCTGCGGACCCAGTCTAATAGATATGTCTTTTAGGACTCGGGCAACCTGGTAAAGCTACAACACAGGATTCCTTTCATTTTCATTTATTCATTCAGGAGATGTGGTCATTGCTTGCTAGGTCAGCATTTGATCTATCCTTAACTACCCTGGGGAATGTGAGCTAATCTGCCTTCTTGAACCACAGCAGTCCTGGGAATGTAGAGACACCCATTGTGCTGTTAGGGAGGGTGTTCAGGATTTTTGACCCAGCAGCACACTAAAGGAATGGCGATACTCTTTCATATCAGGGTGATGTGTGGCTGGCAGGGGAATTTGCAGGTGGTATTGTTCTCATTCATCTGCTGCTCCTGTCCTTCGAGGTGGTAGAGGATGCAAATTTGGAAGATACTGTCAAAGGAGACGTGGTAAGTTACTGCAGTGCATCTTGTAGATAGTGGATGCAGTTGCCAGTATGTGTCAGTGGTGAGGAGAGTGAATGTTGAAGGTGGTGACTGGGTTTGACAGGCACGCTGGTGGTGTCATAACGATAATATCACTGGTCAATAATCCAGAACCATAGGTTATTGTTCTGGTGACATGGATTCAAATCCCACCCAGGCACCTGTGAAAACTAAATTCAATAAAAGCATATCTGAAATAAAAAGCTAACTTGATGGTGATCACTGACAATTGTCACAGAAACTGATATGGTTTATATATGGCCTTCAGGGAAAGAAATCTGCTGTCTTCACTTGGTCTGGCCTACGTATGACTCCAGACCCACGGCAGTGTTTCTTCTGGATGGTTAGAGACCAGCAATAAATGCTGGCCTGTCTGGTGATACTTACATCCTGGGAATGAATTTTTTAAAAATGCAAAGGAGCATTACCTCCAGGTTCCCCTCCAAGTCACCTGCCACCCTGACTTGGAACTATATTGTTATTGCTTCATTGTTTGCTGGGAGTATCCAGGAACTTCCTTTCTAATAGCAGTGTTGTCCCTACACCCAGAGGACTGCAGTGTTTCAAGAAGGCAGCTCATCACCAATTTCTCCTGAACAATTCAGGATGAGCAATAAATGAGCAGCACCCCTATCTCGAGTGCAGTTTCTTTTAGAAGAACTACAAGATGGCAGGTTTACTTGTTTATACGGCCCTTATACGGCAGTTATTACCAAGCTGTTGCTGCTGTGGCTTTACTAAGTATTTAGCTCAATGAAATTTGAAGCGATTTACTTTTATCATTTTCATTATTCACTATTATTCTTTCATCACAGGTGCCAACATTTTGAGGGACTCTGCAGGGAATGTCAAACTGGGTGATTTTGGAGCCAGCAAACGTTTGCAAACTATCTGTATGTCAGGGATTAAATCAGTAACCGGAACACCCTACTGGATGAGCCCTGAGGTTATCAGCGGTGAAGGATATGGAAGGAAAGCAGATGTCTGGTAAGTATTATACTAAGGGCAGCATGAAACAAAGAATAGTTATGATTTTTAACTTTTTTTGAAATAACACACTTGTTGTGCAAATCAGTATAACTCCCTACCTTGATGTAGGAAAAAATGCTTGCAAAAATAGCATTTTGAATACCAAAAACACTTGTTGAGATTATCTTCCTAAACACTAAGATGCTAAACGTATTTCTTTCTGTCGTACTAATTGAAGCACACTAGGAAGACTGTGGTTCAATCTGTGCTGTTTGCTGTCTTCGCTGAAACAGTAATAGTGCAGTTACAACTGACTTCATAATTCCTCATTTGGCCCGTGAGTTGTTGTGTTGTTTGGGCTTTGGGTGAGAAGAGGATTAGGCAGTGATGCTCCTTCATACAATTGATACTGGGTTCATATATCTCAGCTGATTGTTTGCTTTGTATTAATGGAACTGCATCTAAGTAAGAGTCAGTACCTTTAAGAGAGAAAGAAGAAAATTGATAACCATAAAACAATCTCGTCATCACATTTAATAAAAACTGAAAGAACTGCAGATGCTGTAAATCAGAAGCAAAAACAGAAATTGCTGGAAAAGCTCAGCAGGTCTGGCAGCATCTGTGGAGAGATTCATCATCACATTTTCTTGGTCTCCTACCCATTGGGGTGCTAGAAGTTGAAATTGGATGGGCTAATAATTTCTTTATATTGCATATGCTTCTCTCCATTTGACAGTGAGACTGGGTCAGTGTAGGATTATACGACAGAGGAAATGAAACATTATATAGAAACTATTACATTTTTATGTTGTGCTGATTTGCCGAACAACTCAATGGACAACAGTGCTGTTACGTGATGTATGTGCATACGAGTATTGAAATGCTTTTCCTTTTTTATTTGTAAAGGAGTGTGGGGTGCACCATTGTGGAAATGTTGACTGAGAAGCCTCCTTGGGCAGAATTTGAAGCCATGGCTGCCATCTTCAAGATTGCCACCCAGCCAACCAAGCCTCACCTACCAGATAGTGTCTCAAACTCATGCCGTGCATTCCTGAAGCAAATATTCGTGGAGGAGAAACGGAGACCATCTGCAGAAGAACTTCTGAGACATACATTTGTTCAGTATAACCTCTAGTCAAATGATCATTGGAGCTGTGAAGAGTTGGTACCCCACTGAGTAGGACTTTGAAATTACTCCCAACTCTTATAAAGATACTTCCAAAGGAAAAGGCATTTTAGCTTTGTATATATTTTTTGTAAAAATAATACGAAATACCAATCAATGCAATTGCACATTCTGCTTTTTTAAAACTTGTTGTGACATAATTTTATCTATTAGCAATGTAGGAAGGTGAGTCAGTCACGAGATAGAAAAACTGGAAAAATTTGCGGAAGGCTGTTTTTTTTGCCTAAGTGTTAGTTTTGTTCAGAGTTTTTGGAGGGAGTGTTTTTAATCATATCTTACCAAATTCACCTTGTTAACTACCTACCCCACGCTGTGACACTCCAATAATCTGATTCTATTTCCCCATCTTACCTTGGACATTCCCAGAACAAGTCATCACTGCCAGAATATCACAGAATTGATAGTGCCAGCACCAGGGATGCCAATGTTTAAAATGCCTTAGTGCACCCGGATAAGAGCTGTTGGTCCAGAGCTGCCCTACACTCCTTGACATTTGCGCTGGGCATGGCAGACAAGGGACACGTGTTGCCTTGCTTTGCCGGTGGAAATTCCGCTGGGTTGGGTGGTGCACTTAGCAGGATATCCTTTTACCCCGGACCAGCAGAGGAAACTATGACACCAGTCTGCTCTGGAGTTGCCACTTTGGGTCAGTGCAGTCTCAAAGTCTGGAAGAGCACACAGCAATGTCTCCATTCTCCTCTCTGCCAGTGTTAGAGCCACCATTCACATTCACCCTATCTCTGCTACTGTACCCACCTCTCACCAAGGCTCAAGTTTTACCATTGTCAGTATGGTCCACAACATTTTCCCTCACTTACCCACCACAAACTCTGACAACATGAGCCCCACATGCCCTCTACACTGCCTACTCACTCACTCGGGACACCTCCTCACCTGAACAAAACAGCTATGTCACCAACTTTCAACCCCCATAAAACTTGCTTCACTGTCATTCTAGGATGGACACAGCTCACAATAGGTAAGAAATATGTGATATAACAAGGTGTAGAGCTGGATGAACACAGCAGGCCAAGCAGCATCAGAGGAGCAGGGAGGCTGACGTTCCGGGCCTAGACCCTTTTTCAGAAAATCTTGGTGCTTGGCCTGCTGTGTTCATCCAGCTCTACACCTTGTTATCTCAGATTCTCCAGCATCTGCAGTTCCTACTGTCTAGGGAAGAAATACGTGTTTTTTTCCTCAGAAGCTTTGAGTTGTTGGAATTCCCTTCCTCAAAAAGCAGTGAATGCAGATTCTTCAAAAAGTTTTGAGGCAGGGCTGGATAGATCCATTGTTGTCAAGGGGATGAAGGATTATTGGGGACATTCAGGAATATAGACTTGAAGTTAAAATCAGGTCCGACATTATCTTATTGAATGACATGTGGCCTACTCTTATTCGTAAGTGTCAAGATGGAACAGGGGCTTCCCATCATTCAACTCCTCAACCTGTATGAGGAGAGAATTCTGACTGTAACCGCTTATTGTTCATGTCCAAGCCCCTGAACTGGTATCGGAGGATGTTCATGATTTACTGTGCCAGGACCCCCTGAGCAAAGCCATTGACTTGACCGAGCATCGCTGATAACCATGACAGGTTTTTTGGCTTCGTGTCTGCACTAAACTGAAAGCAGTACTGGTATCTCTGGCTGAGTGGTAAGGCAAGTCAATGCAACACAGGGATGATGTGAGCATCCAGATAGACTCTGAGTGAGTGCTATGACAGTAAGCAAACAGACTGGAGATATAGCCTGGCCCAGTACATCGAGCTGAGTGCGGGCTCTCCGAGCACACAATAATATCCTTGCAGCAACATTACAATGGCAGTTGCTGACGTGCCCCGAAGTGCAGTGTTGCGCAGAAGTGAATCAAAGATGTTCTGAGTTCTCTGTCTAAGAATGGGCTCCTAGAGAGTGGCACATGTCGAATGCCACATCTGTGAACGTGGGATTTGTATGGTCAGTGCTCACAGTGTGGTGACAGAGCCAGCAGTGAGCTGAGGTCACCAGATACATGCTGTAACATCTGGCTCAACATCTTCATTGTTCAGCTTGTTTGCTGAGTATAAATGAGGCGAGTTGTGGTGTTAATAGATATTTAACATGCAATAATCTTTCATGTGTAACACGGCATTGCCAACTGAGAAACCTGTCCCCCACCCCACTGCTGGGCCGATGCTTAAAAGAGGCAACAATTAGCTCCCCATGTCAAAAGAGGCTTTGCCAGATTTTTCAAGCAATTCCATCGCAAATCCCACGTAGCCTGCGCATCATTTGGGCCCTTAAGATTTTACCATGTCTTCAGATCTTGTTCTTAGCTCTTTGTATAGTTTTTCCAAAACCAGACTGTCTCATCTTCCTGGTGTCTAAAACACACCCATACATTGCATACAACATTCAAATGATGTCACAGTATGACTGACAGATTGTACCTCCTGATCCAAAGGGAAACATTGTCAAAATCCTCCTGGATTGTATCCATTCTGCATTTCCACATTTGGGTTAACAAGGGAAAGATGAGCCAGATGTTTGGTTAAAGGAATGTAAACAAAACCTGTTGGCCCTTGGAACTAAAATACTCTGTTACTGAGCCTTTCCTTAACCTTTCTTTTCTATTCACTTACTATTGGGCTGTATATAATAATGACATTTAAATATAACTTTGTTTATTTGAAAGCCATGTTGAATTTTGTAAAAAAAAGTAATCCTCCTTTCACTGGATGGAAATAAAGGATCATTGAAATGCATGACTCATGACAACTTTTTGAAGTCTTATTAACGCCGAAATGGAATAAGAGTGGAAATTGAAAAGGACTGGAATTTGAAAGTGGTGCCAAAAGATTAGGAGATTCAAATGTTGCATTCCTATCGAAAAAACAATCATGTGGTAAACTTGGCAATACTAGCCAGTTAATATAATGTCCACCTTGAATTTAACGATAGTAGGCAAAATTTCATTTTTGGAAGTGATGCCCCTCTTTACAAGGTCTTGCTGTACTGTCAGAAACTTCATGAAAAGGACATGAACGTTATGTCTCAGACTGCCTTCTCATCCCATACCTACAGCAGAGCACCTGATTTACAGCATACAAGTTGTCGATCAATCTGTAGATTACTCATGAATGAGAAAGTGTTTTGCAAGATTTGGCCTCAACCAAGTCTATTGAAGGGTCACACCATCAACAACTTGGGGTTAACATTAACTAGAAACTGAACTGGACCAGTCATATAAATACTGTGGCTTCAAGAGCAGGTTAAAGGTTGATAATTCTAAAACCTACCCATCGTCTACAAGGTACAAGCCAAAAATGAGTGGTGAAGTACTATCCACTCCCATGGACAAGTGCAGTCAACACGTAAGAAGCTCAACACCATCCAGGATAAGGCAGCAGTTCGATTGGGACCCTTTCTCCTACCTTAGAAATTAAGTCCCTCCATCACCAAAGCACAGTGATAGTAGTGTGTACCATATGCACGATGCTCAGCAATAACTCCCAATCTCCTGACATCTACCAGCTCCGTCCAAGTCACCACACTATCCTGATTGCGAACTACATCATTCCTTCACTGTGGCTTGGTCAAAATCTTGGAACTCCCTTCTCACAGCACTTGGCTGCAGAGACACAAAGCTAATTATGAAGGCCAATTGCATGGCAGAATATGCCAAAATTATATTTAACACAAATTTTGGAACAAATTACCAGAACCATTCAGTAAAACATGTCTCTGTTGCCTTCCTGACAGTCATCCCAAACCCTGCTAACTCAATTTTTTTCACTGTTGAAAAATATGAAATTAGCTACCTTTTTCAAATAAATACACAATATTGGAAATGCAAAAGATTGTCAGTTTTTCACATCCGTAAGTCTATTACTTTTCATTGGATACTATGTTCATAAGTTCTCTCAAAATTGTTGATTTTTTGACTCAAATCAGTTGACGCTCCAGTACTGTGCTAAGAGAGTGGACAATAATAGGCAGAATTTAAGATGATCAAATGAGTTGTTGGTGTAAACAGAAGCTTTTTCATTTGGCCAAGCATTAAATTTTAAGACCATACAGGGGTGATGTGAGAAAGCAGTTCTTCAAGGAACTGAGGAAAGCTATTGAGGCTAGGTTACTTGAACATTTGTGATTGACCATTTTTGTTGAGCAAAGCTATTAAAGGACCAAGTCAGGCAGATACAGTTAAGGTACACAGTAATCATGATTTAATTAAGTGGTGGAAAAGATTCACTTGTTTGAATGGCCGACCCTTTTCCTGTGTAAGATAAATGAAACCACTGATATCACCTAAGGTCAAGGCCCTGCCTGCATTCAGTGGTTTTATAAACAAACCATCCTACTGCCTAAGCAAAAACAATATACAGTCAATTCCTGAAATCTGAGATAAAGACAAAAAATGCCAGAAACACTCAGCAGGTCAACCAGCATCAATGGAGAATAAAACATAAGTTTCAAGACCTCATCCTGGAACTGTTAAAATTTAGAAATGGAACAGGATTTCAGGGAGTGCAGAGTTGGAGTGTATGGGTGAGGGGAACCGGAGTAAGACTGAAGTGGGGAACATACGGGCAGGCTGGTGAGAAGGTAGGATTACTTAAATGAAAAGGGATATTGGGTAGCAAAAGGGACCACTAATAGGAAAAGTAAAGCAACAAAAGATGGAGCAGAAGAGCTGTGAATGGCAACAATAAAATTACTAATCAATAGAATCAGCAGCTACTATCTGAAAATGGAAGCAATTGTTCTGATATGATTTTACTGCACTCAATATTAAGTCCAGAAGGCTGGAAAGTACCTCATTAAAACATGAGGTGCTGCTCCTTGACTTCCCATTGAACTTCTTTAGAGCAGTTTAAAAGACTTAGGACAGAGAAGCCACAATGGGAGTGAGATAGAGAATTGAAATGAAAGGCAACTGAAAGCTCAGGGTGTCATGCTTACAGATTGAATGGAGCATTCAGCAAAATGATCATCCAATCTGCATCAACTACAGAAGCTGGAGATCCGAAACAAAAACAGAAAGTGCTGGAGAAATTTGGCATGCCGGGTAGCATCTCTGGAGAGAAAAGCAGCTAACTTTTCAGCTCCAATATGTTTCATCTTTGGAAGAAGAGTCATATTGCACTTGAAATGTTGGACTGAAACTTATGTAGTTTGGCTGGGTGCGAGTTGCATAAAGTTATTTGGAGGGATTGCCACAGCAGGGCCTAATGAGATTTCTCGCCATAGCACCCAATGCAGCTGTCATGAACAAGGAGAGTCTCCACCTCCCCCTTGGAAGACTGTTTCCATTCTCCCAATTCCTCAGCATCCTTGCCTGATTGCATGCTTCAACTGTACAGAACACAATATTCCTTGATCAACGTCCACTCTAAGCCCTGGAAGCTTTCACCCATGCCGATCGGTGTGCTGATGCATTGAATTGCCCACGCAAAAGCCATTGTTTAGAGGTTCACACAGTGGAAATAACAATTAAAGACAACATTGGCGAGGGTAATATGACACACTGTGTCTGGAATATTCTGTAGCCCGATCATCTGCTCCACCATGGCCCCGGTCGAAGCATATGCAGCATTATATTTATGCTCCACATGGGTTAGACAGTTGCACAGTGGGATCAAGATTGCAGTGGGTAGCTCTTGTCCACGAGTAAACAGCCTTGTAAGGGCCCTGGACTCTCAAACACACCAGGTACGCAAGAATTCTGCAGGCTGTAGAAAATGCAGTAACTGCCAGAGTTGTGAGCGCACACCTCCAGGAAGTGGAAATGGTTATCACAGATCACCTGAATATCGGGCAAATGTAACCCCTTCCTGTTGATGAATTCTACAGTGTTGTGACATTTCCCACACAGTGTCAAATAGATGGCACCCTGCAGCTGGGCGAAGCCAGATATACTCCTGAATCCTACTACCTGGGCTGAAATGATTACAAATTAAATGCTTTGCAAATGGCTGCTTCATATATTTGTTCTTTCGATGTCCTAGGATCCATTCCGATCACATTTCATTGCTCAGACCTTTGACTATAGGAGTTGGGACATTATGTTGCAATCGTACAAAACATTGG